CACGGTGATAGGACATTGCAAAATTATTCCAATTGTTGAAGTACTCTATAGCATTCCCTATTATAGGATTATAGGCCAAGTTAGGTTGGTCTTTTCTATTGTTTGTTTGTTTGTTTCATTTTACGTCTTTTCCCAACAGTATTTCAGTCATATAGGCGGGGTGTTTCCTAAACATCGTTCCTGGAGAGTTACACCAGTACTAGACTATCTTCCTCCGTGCTAAACTACCAAAGCATCTCCCGAGGATCGAACCCACGCCAGAGAGGTAACTGGATTAGAAGTCATCGACTCTAACCCCTAGACCACGGAGGCGGTCACAGCCAAGTTTTTCAATGACACTAAATATTCATACTATGACCACCTATAATGTGAAGAGTTTAAAACATAACATCTACTTTGTGAGTCAAAACATGTTTATTTTATGTTAATAAAGATACTGTGTACCCATTGTCAGGGCCCAATCAAATAAATGTGACCAAACTTGATAAAAGATCAGTTAAGAATACTACAGACAAAATTTGGTGATCATCCATCAATTATTTCAGTAGATGATGTTCAAAGGTTTTTCTTTTTTTATTTTTAGCGGCAAATAAAAGGGGCCTATCAAATCAATATGAGCAAACCTGATAAAAGAATACCTAAGAATGCTACAGATAAAATTTGTTGATCATCCATTTATTAGTTCTGTAGAAACAGACGTTAAAAGTATTTCTAATTTTAGCTTTAGCTGTGCCTAAAAGGAGCCAATCAAATTTACTTGAGCAAACTTGATAGAGGACTACCTAACAATGCTACATACAAAATTTGGTGATCATCCATCAATTATTTCAATAGAAGATGAAGTTCAAAGTTTTTTTTTCTATTTTTAGCTTAAGCAATCCGTAAAAGGGGCAAATCAAATGAATATGAACAAACTTGATAAAAGACTACCTACCTAAGAATGCTACAGACAAAATTTGGTGATCATCCATCAATTAGTTCTGTAGAATGAGACGTTTAAAGATATTCCTACTTTAGCTTTAGCGGCTTCTAAAAGGAGCCAATCTAAATAATATGAGCAAACTTGATAAAAGACTACCTAAGAATGCTACAGACAAAGTTTGGTGATCAACCATCAATTAGTTCTGTAGAAGATGTCTAAAGGTCTTTTTGTATTTTTAGCTCTAGAGACTCCTAAAAGGGGCCAATCAAATTAAAATCAGCAAATTTGATAAAAGACTACCTAAGAATGATACAAACTATGGTGATCATCCATCATCGAGTATCCCCCTTTGATACTAATAGCTCACCCTGAACCTTCGGTTATGGTGAGCTAAAAAAATTCAGTAGTTAAAAGTTGTGAACAGGACACAAAATTGTTGACTTTTAGCATTTGACATCTATGTGTGACCTAGACCATGGGGGAAGTGGCCTGATAATGCGCTCAAAAAATCATTTCATTACGTGACCATTTGTAGAAAGTCATTTTATAAAGCTTTATAGTAGTTTAAAAGTTAAGGAGCGGACAGGAAAATGTGGACTTTATCATTTGACCTATAAGTGTGACCTGGACTCAGTGGTAGCAACCTAGATGTTGCGCTCTGCAGAGTGTGTCATGGTGGTGATCATTTGTACCAAGTAATTCAAAAACCTTTGAATTATCAATAAGTTATAGAGCAACATGAAAATTGATATTTTAAAATTGGACCTTTGTGACCTTAACGTTGAAGGTAGTGACTGCTTGTTGTGCTTTGCACGTCGTCTCATGATGGTGATCATTTCTGCCAAGTTATTTTAAAACCTTGCAGTGGATTAAAGGTCATGGAGCGAACATGGAATGTAAATATTTTATCACTTGAAACTTAAGGTTGACGTTGACCTTGGGTGTAGCAACCCAACTATTGCGCTCTGCACATTGTCTCGTAATAATAATCACTTGTGCCATGTTATTTTGATTTTTATCAGCGGTTTAAAAGTTATGGAGCGAACACGAAAGTTTCACGTTGGGACAGATGAACGGACTGACAGATGGAGGCCATTCCTATAATCCCCTCAACGCTTTGCGGAAGGGGATTAAAAATGAACAATAGGCAATAACTCCAAAATTAGGTAGAGTTACGGTTCTGTTGCATTGCATTCCTACTCAATTAGACCTATCTACCTACAAAGTTTCTTGTTGACATCTCTTATACTAACTTTCAGAGTTATGTCCCAGACAATGTTCAAAGTGTAACAAGATATGTTTGTAAAACATGTATGCCCTTTATCGGCAGCCAAGTAGTCATGTAGCCAGATTAATGTGACTGTCTTTTGACCTAGTTGTAGCCAATTATAGCAAATAGCAGTGAAATAACATTTATTTGACCAGTAAGGTCAAGGTCAATAATAAGTCACGGTCAAAAAAGAGTTTGATCTTTAAAAAATTGTCCTTAAGGCAATTGTGCTCCAGTATAAAGACAATCCATTCATAAACAACTAATTTGTAGCTAATTTTAGCAAAAATGAACTAAAATTTAATTTGAAGTCAAGGTCAATGATAAGTAAAAGTCATAATCATTCTTTTTACTTAAAGGTTCGGTCTAACGGACAGCTGTGTCTACTTTAAAGACAATCCATTTATAAATATAGTTATAGCCATTTATAGCAAAAATCAAGCAAAATTCAAACATTTGACCTTAAAGGACTGGTCAAGGTCAAGTATGAGTAAAGGTCAAGTTCAGTCTTGTCAACTTTAAGGTCTTGTCTAAAAGAGATGTTATGACCAACTGTAGAGTGATATTTCTGACAAACCATGTGGTATATAAAGTCAATAGTAAGCTATCACATGTAACATTTTTGTTTCCCCGTCTAAAACTTCATGAATTTTGATAGGATGTAGCACATGCTTAGTGACATACTTCATGTTTGTCTGGTATAAAGACTTATAATTCTCAAAAGTGCTAAGAGACACTAACTGTCCACAGATCTATGAACCATGCCGTACCATACTATATGTCCAGAACTTTCTTCGTTTGTATAAAATAATACTGTTTGTTTTTTCCTTGCAATTCACCTTTAAAATGATGTCACTTCAACACGATATCACTTCAACACTATATATGGCCAATATTGAAGAATTACCACTTACTTTTTTGTGATGTTAATCTCCCATAGGCCAATAGGGAGTTATTCTTACTGATAATGCAAGTGTACCACACAACTCAAACTTTTGTACTGTTACATAGGTAACACTACTTTTTCACAGTAAAAATATAAACCTATAGAAACAGCGTATCATAGAAGTATTTGTTTGAGGTTATAAAATAAATAACACATAGGTTTGTAAATTACAAAAAAAATATCATCTCTGGAAAAAATACTGTTACCCCTCAGGATAATATTTTTACTGTTCCTCACAAACCTGTGTTATTCATATACTTACTCGATTTATTTACCTTAGGGCTTGTTTATCTCATTTTCAACAGATGCAACAGATTCTCACTCAAAAACATATCATTTGAAACTTAAACTTAAAATTATGCATAGTAAGCACTTAGTTAATCATCTGTGATTTTGGATTCATTCCATAGACTTGAAATTTCAAATTTAATTGAAAGATATCAGATGAAATCCCAAATTTTGTAAAAAAATGTAAAGACTTTTTTAAAGTACCTATACAACCACACTTGTGTGTTGATCCTGGTAGGACTATAGGGATGTGCTGGCTAGCATGTCTAAGTACTGCTGACAAAGGACAACCACTTTAAGTTCAAGCAGGTAAAATGACTTTCAAGCTACATAGGTAAAAATTTGTAAGACCGAAGATATCACGTAAGTGTATCATTTATCAGTCACTTTAAGTGTATCATTCACCTGTCATTTGAAGGTATCTTTTGCCTGACATAACAAGTGTATAATTGTAAGTGTATCTTTTATATTTTACCAGTCATTTAAGGTGTACCATTCACCTATCATTGTAAGTGTGTCTTTTACCAGTCATTTAAGGTGTACCATTCACCTATCATTGTAAGTGTGTCTTTTACCAGTCATTTAAGGTGTACCATTCACCTATCATTGGAAGTGTGTCTTTTACCAGTCATTTAAGGTGTACCATTCACCTATCATTGGAAGTGTGTCTTTTACCAGTCATTTAAGGTGTACCATTCACCTATCATTGGAAGTGTGTCTTTTACCAGTCATTTAAGGTGTACCATTCACCTATCATTGGAAGTGTGTCTTTTACCAGTCATTTAAGGTGTACCATTCACCTATCATTGGAAGTGTGTCTTTTACCAGTCATTTTAAGGTGTACCATTCACCTATCATTGGAAGTGTGTCTGTTACCAGTCATTTAAGGTGTACCATTCACCTATCATTGTAAGTGTGTCTGTTACCAGTCATTTAAGGTGTACCATTCACCTATCATTGGAAGTGTGTCTGTTACCAGTCATTTAAGGTGTACCATTCACCTATCATTGTAAGTGTGTCTGTTACCAGTCATTTAAGGTGTTACCATTCACCTATCATTGGAAGTGTGTCTTTTACCAGTCATTTAAGGTGTACCATTCACCTATCATTGTAAGTGTGTCTGTTACCAGTCATTTAAGGTGTACCATTCACCTATCATTGGAAGTGTGTCTTTTACCAGTCATTTAAGGTGTACCATTCACCTATCATTGTAAGTGTGTCTTTTACCAGTCATTTAAGGTGTATCATTCACCTATCATTGTGAGTGTATCTTTTATCAGTCATTTAAGGTGTACCATTCACCTATCATTGTAAGTGTATCTTTTATCAGTCATTTAAGGTGTACCATTCACCTATCATTGTAAGTGTGTCTTTTACCAGTCATTTAAGGTGTACCATTCACCTATCATTGGAAGTGTGTCTTTTACCAGTCATTTTAAGTGCATCATTCACCTATCATTGTAAGTGTATTTTTTATCAGTCATTTTAAGTACATCATTTCATCATTTGGTAAAGAAGAATCTATGCTGAATGAAAAGAAAAGGTCTGTGATACAAAGAATGACAAATGCAGTACAAGTCTTGGTTATTTTTGTCTGAAATATAGTCTTTATGAATTATATGATACAGTTCATAACTAAATATCATGAATAAATTAGACTAAATCAGTACATGATATACAAAAACGATTTTCTGCTTACAATTCATCTTAAATATTAAGAAATAAGCAACACAAAAATAATCTAGACACAAATAAACAAGGAAAAATATAATAACAAATCAAATTTTACCCAAACACGTTTGATAATACTGAGCAAAGGTCTTCAAAAACAGAAAACAAAAAATAAGAAATTTAAATGTAAATGATCAAAATGGCAGCTGTTGTCTGTCCATTATACCCTGGGTGGGCAGTCATACTTGATTCATAGATTCTGCACCCAGTAATGAGTATTATTCTGAATGTTTAATCTTGAACCTGCTGACATTCTTAAATATTTAGAAATGATCATTATTTATGTTAAGTATATCAATAAGAAAATTAAATCAACTGTCAGTACAGATGTGCTGATGAACTCAAATTACATGTCCGACTGCAAAGTATTTATAACTATTGACAAACAAACTTTAAATTTTCTTCTTGATGTAACCTAAAAATTGATAATGGGCATTTCCATAAATGAAAGTTAGATAAGTCCATTAAAGAAATTTTGGTAGTTACAGGTAAACTTGGGTAGTAGACTGTATAGATTTAGACTGGTCTGCCACCTTCAACATTGGGTGCTGATAATGATAAGTAATAGTCCCTCTCGGTACTCTCAGACTAAAATACTTTCTTTTAATAAAATTGTCAGTCCCTAAATTTGATCAGACTGACACACATGTCCATAAAAATGAATGAATTTATTTATAACCTAATATAATAACAGATTTATAATAAACAAGTCAATAAATGCTAGAGAAGGACAATCAAGGGTATTTGCCATTTTTGATCAATTATTTTAAACATTATTAATTACCATCATAGATGTTCATAAATCTCTAGGCTTATAGACAGTTGATTAATATGAGACAAAAAATAATCATCATTTAAATGCCCTTGTTATATATCAGCTGAAAATTCAATTCAAACATATTTTTCAAGTTTACAAATAATGACTAATAGCTCAAATCAAATTCCAAGACTTAACTAGAAATGTGTCCATAGGACACAAATGCCCCCACATTCCACTGATTTGTGAGTCTACTGACGTACAGCAGGACAGAACAACAGACAGACAGACAGACAGACAGACAGAGGAAAGTTTAAATGACTTCCCCTACCCCTAAATGGTTGGAGCATAAAAATAATGTCCAATTTTTCCATTGCTGACATATTGATTCTTCCCAATTTTGTTGCAAGAAATCAAAATCTCAATTTTATATCCTATAGTATGCTTAAAAGAAAATGAAAATAAGCTAAACCCCAGATGCACAATTACACATGTTGGCCAACATTCCTGTAAAGTTTCATTTATCTATGTCATATACTTTTTGAAAAATGCATGACACAAGTTAAAATGCAAATATTTACTAAGTGAAAGGCAATAATAACTCTGACAAAACTGGATTAATCCACACAAGAACCCCAAGGTTCACAACTTCACATGCTGATCAACATTTTTGTAAAGTTTGTTGACTGTTAAGCTCAGGAACTTTTAATGACACAACATTTTGGAATGGATAGTCGGGTGCACACATGGAAAGACGGACAAGGGCAAATCTAAATGTCCCACCTTGAGTGAGGGCATAGAAAAACAACTAAGAACATTGGGGTTAAGAGCTAGATTTTTTACAGTGTTTGAAACACATTTTATTTGAAGTTTTCTATCTCATATGTTATGTCTGTCCTCACGAATGTAAGGAATGTGTATTTATCACTAACATGTTACAAAATAACAAAGCTTACTAAATTTACAACTTACTGTACATAAGTTCAGGGTATCTGCTAAATAAACTATTTGCTTATAATATGTTAGCCAGGAGGCTCAAACTTGGCCAAGAGGCTAAAACTATGTACAATATCTTCTAACCATAAATCCTGAGACAAAAATGTTAACATACTTCATTATTTTAACATTTTATGTTTTGTTCACAGTAAAGTTACAGAAAACGTTTTATGAATAAAGTGACATAAAACGTGAAGTATTTCTGAATGAAGATAGGGCATTTTATAAAACACAATAAATTTTAATGTTAATAAGAAATTTGAGAATAATGTAATAATACAATTACTTCTATTAATGCTCTTTTGTAAAATAGAATGTATTACATATTTAAGCATTTTAACATTTTTGTCACAGAGTAAGAAATCATTTTTTAATAAATTCGTATCATACAAATATTAATATATCTTATATATAGATAAACATAATTCATAGTCATATATCAACCAATGACCTCTCATTTAAAATGATGTCTGACAAAAAAAAAACAAAAAAAAAACAAAAAACATTTGTCTGTCCAAAGAGCAAAACAACAAAAATCAACTTAATAAAAATTTTTTTAAAAAAAAACCATAAAAACTGGCAAAGCATTGGATATCAATATTAGTCATTATGTATAAAACTAGGCATATTTGTTTGTAACAATAATTTTCATTGGATGAACTGTAGTTTAAAATAATAAACAAGAGCTCTGCTGAGGCCGGGCAATATATGTCTGATGGCAAATTTACAAGAAGGTATCATGTACAAAAAACTACCTTTAAGAAAGATAGCAAATTTATTGTTGTGAATGGCTCCAACAAATGTAAAAAAAGTGTTATATAACATTAATGGATTCAGTGAAATGCTTGTAAAGATCTGCTGTGGAAGCCAATTATTTTCCAGAAAAATTGCTAAAACAGGGGCATAACTCTTCTCTTCTAAAACCAATAATTTCACTACAAAAAAAAGCTTTAAAATGGACATAACTACACGAAAAATGTGTTGATTGCAGCGAAAATTAAATTTGACCTTTGTATTGATATAGCATACTGACAGGCAAAATACATTTACAATCACAGAAATCCTTTATATATTACGCTGCGGAAACCAATCATCTATGGACAGGAGGACACTGCCATACCATAATACATCTCAAAGGTTTTCAGGCATATAAAATAAAATAATATGACCGAAATTCATTCGGGCATATAAAAATGATGAGTCATCAAAGCATAAACAGACATGTAGAATTATAAAGTTTCTAACTACATGCATAAAGAACTATCATTTCTGACATTGACACATTGATTGTTATCATTATAAATGGTGATCATTGATAAAATATAATTGAGCCACATCATGACAAAACCAACATAGTGCTTTTGCGACCAGCATGGATCCAGACCAGCCTGAGCATCTGCGCAGTCTGATCAGGATCCATGCTGTTCGCTTACAAACCCTATAGCAAGTAGAGAAACTGATAGCGAACAGCATGGATCCTGATCAGACTGCGCAGATGCACAGGCTGGTCTGGATCCATGCTGGTCGCAAACGCACTATGTTGGTTTTGTCGTGACGCGGCTCATATATTCTTGTAATTCATTGGCTGTAACGGAAGACATGATACTTAACACTTATACTAATAGTATCTTTACCTGTGTCATATTTACTACATTATATACATTGTACAAACAACAACAGTACCATTTTAGGGCCAATTTTGGGCCGACATTTGGCCCCCAGGGGCCATAACTCTCCCCCCAAAAAGCATATAGTTTACTCAAATAATTCTGAGAAAAAATCCCCTCTAACAATAACTAAAATGATAAAAAAAAAATTCAGATCATTTTTTCACAAGAGCATGACAGTGATGACCATTGTAAATTGAAAATATAATGGTATTGTATCCACTTCTAAATTTTCCCCTTGTTCCCCTCTGGCATGCAATTTTCATTGTTGGGATACCCACGGCCGAACAATTAACATTTATGATTTATTATGTTACATGTTAATCAACAGTGGGTATCCTACAATGGCAAATTTACCCCTTTCCATCATTCTCCTAAAAGTGAAAACAAACAACAACAGTGACTGTGAAGGAGATTGTCAGTATAACTGATACATACTCCTTGACGTTACTTTGATGAAATCTAAATATATCATCTAACCATGTGTCGAAACATTTTTGAAAAATCTATTTATAAATCCAAACAACCTTGACCCGGATTGACCTGAAACCTTACTCATGGGTAACGATCCATGTAAGGTACCAAAAACACATCAAATATCTGAAAGTCAGTCAATAACTGAATAAGCTACGAGAGATAGTGACATTAAATGTACCAAATGGATGGAAGGACGTACATACCAGAAACAATAGTTATTCTCCATCTTAAACTAACCAGAGCTAAAAAATTACAAATTTGGATTTCATATTTAGTATTAATATTTAGTTGTATTATAAGAACATTAATTATAAAATTGCATCATAATGAAGTGTGACATAAAATTACAATTTTTTGTTGAAAAACAGAAAAACAGACATCAATATAAAGACATAATGCAAAAATAATTCATTAAAACATTCTTCAATAACAACCAAATGGTAAGTAAATCCACAAACAGTAAACATGCATAACATAAATAATATTAAGTTATTATCAACATTTTTTACAATTTTAACAATTACATTAGATTGTCTTTCATACTTCTACATGTAACTGTCAAAACTTGGCCAACACTGGCCTACATTATGCACCAGAAATAAATCCTTTTTCTTCTTTCTGAAGAAAAGGCAAATCTGTGTTTTAAAGTTAAATAGATTAAAACATGTAAGTGCTTATTACCTCACGAAAATAGCCCTAAATGTGAAACAATTTGTGATAAAAGGTAGCAAAATGTTAATTAAAATGACACAAAATACTAAATCACTATAATATTGTACTAATTGCCAAAAACACAAAAGCTGGTTCAGCCATATGGCAAGTGGGTAACTTTTTGAAACAGGACAGGAAAGATAAGAATATTTTTAAAAAAATTAGGCTTAATGGGCCTTTAAGAAAATATAAATGGCAAAAAAAATATATGAAATGAGTTTAACATAGCTGTAATAGTCCACTTCTATAGAAATTTTCTTGTTGTTCTTTCCAAAATCATACAGAACTAGTACACTCTTGTTTACATGCCGATGCATGATCTTGATTTAATGATTGCTGTCATAAACATATTAAACATGTATATACATGTACAAAATAACAATACTGTGTTTTCTTGATATCTGACATTGGTGAGTTAAATATTGTGACATAAACCTTACATACAGTTCAATTAGGGCATATCATTTATTTTTGTATCTCAATGAGAATTTGTTCACTGTTACAACCAATATACTAATAAAAATAAGAAACATTTAACCTTTAACATGCTGGATTTGTGTTATTGGATTTATCCTGTTTTGAATTTGAAACTGTCTGTGTCAGTTGATAATTAATGGATTTCAATATCAAAAGTCACTATAACAAGAGCAACTGCCTTGCGGGGGTTCACACTTGACTTGTTCAAAAGATTATTGTGTCCAAAAAAGACAATGCATTCATAAATAACTAAGTAATAGCCAATTACAGCAAAAATTAAGCATAATTCAAACATTTGACCTTGATGATCAACGTCATTTAAGACTCAAGGTCAAGTTTAGTCTGGTTTACTTGACGGTCTTATCCAAAGCATTGTTGTATCCAATTGCAACGGAAACGGCAACCAGACTGTAGCAAAAGCTCTAAACTTTTCTTCCAAAAAGTTGAGCTAAAAAATTGAGCTATCAAAAGTATAGAGCCTGGTCAGTCTGCATTGAATCGTCATGTTGACCTGGCTCTATACTGGTGGAAAACACTTATCTCTTGTGATCCCAGCAGGTTAAAGGTTAAATAGTTGATCAGCACTATAAAAAAATCTTTTTTTTTTTGTCCCCTTTAACTGACGGACTTCATTCATTGTCGCACGCATCCTTTGCAGGGGACTGTGCACTGTGGGGCACTGTTTGTGATAAAGCAATCTACTTTGCCTTCCATGTTAGGACCTCAAGTGAAAAAAAAATCCTAGCTCAAGTCTGGTAATTATCAAATGAATATTGAGGTCTTCTTTAGGGCCTCAATAGATTTAACAGTTCCATATGGAAATCTGATGGTGTAGATTAAATGAAATAGGTCACTGTTAGTGCCTCAAGTGATATTTCTGTACAGTTCCCCATACGTATCTGATTGTGTTGATTAATTTATGCAATAAAAACGGTCCTTCCCAGGGCCTCTTATAAAGAGGCAGCCCTTTTATAGGAGGCCTGATTGCCTCCCCTCACCGCTTCACAACACCATTGAGATCTTTTGGTAGCACATCAAGGTAAGTAACTTGTACAGGTTTGTGTGCAAGGTGATCTTTTGCTTCAATTATACTGAACCACTGTCTCTGTCGACCTGCAAGCAAATAAAGGGGGGATAATTTTAAAACTATAAAAGAAATATTAAAATAAAGCTAGCTTTTCATACTATTTAACAATAAGGAGATAATTCATCTCTCCCTCTCATTAATTTTTATAAGCTAGTCAGTGATGTTCTATTAAAGAAATATTTAAGGAGTGATAACTTTTCATACTCTTACACAATAAGGATAAAACACTTCTCTCCCTTCCATTATGTTTTAAAAGCAAGTCAGTGATGTCCTTTACAATGCTTTTTCCCCATCAAATAGATCAGAACTAGAACCTTATAAATTATACAGGCATAAATAACACAATTAATTAACAATAGCAAATGAGAGAGTTTTCTGACAATTCTCTAAGCTTCATAGTAAAATAACAGCATGGATAATAAATAGGAATTTCAAAATTAAAGAATTTGTTCCAAAAAATTCACTATACCCAGAAGGTCAAAATACAGAGTCATTCTCTTTCAAGACCTAAATTCAAAGATAAACTTATTTAAAACCCAAAAAGTTAGTCATGAGCTTGAATATAAAATCAGCCTTACCAAAAAGCTTGAATACAAAATCAGCCTAACCAAAGAGCTTGAATATAAAATCAGCCTAACCAAAGAGCTTGAATACAAAATCAGCCTTACCCAAAGAGCTTGAATACAAAATCAGCCTAACCACAAAGCGCTCAAATACAAAACAAAGCTTCTAGAGTTCTGAAACACAATGTCAGCCAATACTTAAAGCCCAATCATAAAATAAAACACATTTGTATTTAGTTGGTCCAAATTCAAAATGCCTTACCCATAATTTCACTATCTTCCCATTCGTCTAACAGATCTGTCACTATAAATGCATATAAACTTGTCCGATGTTTCTTCTCTGTATTCTACAATTAAAAAAAATCATATTTTAAACATATCACTATCTTTCTTATATACAGCCAGAACAGAAAGTTTTTTTGTTTTGTTTTTTTTTTTGTTGGATTTTATGTTACACCAACACAATAAAAGTCATATACACATGTAGCCACTTTCCAGCCTTTATTTGAACAAACTTGGAAGACACCCACCAGAAGATGTTTCATGCTTAATATCTAAGCTCTAGCTATTTGGTTTTATTACAAGAAGATCTTTTAAGTTTTAACTATATACAAATAAGTAAAATCAATGACCCCTGGGACAGGGCCAACTTTTACCCCAGGTCATTTATTTGGTAGACACTGACTAGATGATGTTTCATACCAAATATTAAAGCTCTAGCTCTTTCGGTTTTCTAAAAGAAGAAATTTTTAAAGCTTTTTTCTTTTGGTTGCCATAGCAACCAGAGTTCTGTTTTGATTAAATTCTTTGAACAATTTTTAAAGTTGACTACCAAAGGAACATTCCTGTGAAGTTTGGACGAAATTGGCTTAATGAGGAGATGTTGTTTAAAGTAAAAGTTTAAGGACAACCGCCGGATGGAAAGCGATCACAAAAGCTCACCATGTCACTTTGTGACAGGTGAGCTTAAAACAATGAAAATGAAATCAAGATCATTTGATCCTTATAGTTGCTTAGTGAACACAGGGCCAGGTGTCATATAAGGACACATGGTTGTGATCCCTGTGCTGGGTGAACTCATGCTCCCTCGGGGTTGAGAGACTGCGTGAGATATATAAACAACTATGCCCCCACTCCACTTCATATGTGAATAAAGCTCTTTTCCCCGGGAAGGGGGGGGGGGGGCTATTGGCTATTTAAAGACAAAGAGAAATACAGAAAGGACATTATTGTGAATAATCTAGGAGTATATACTTAAAGATATGAACCTTATATATAATCCTGGATTTAACGCCAGTAAACTTTACAAATTGAAAAAAAAAATCAAAAACTTTACAGAAAAAAAAACCAACATCAAAATGCAGAACCTAAGTAGAAAAAAAATAAATATATGGAAAAAAAATATACTTCTAAGTTTACAGCTGTCAGATTTATATACATAATCTCCTTATTGTAGATAATCTGACAGTTTTAACATTAATTTTCCAACATTTTCCCATCAAAACATCTCATTTAGAAAGGTATATATAACTTTTAAGATACCATTATTTCAGAGCATCATTATTGTATCTATTTCAAGGTAGTTTACAGATTTTATTTCTGGCATGTTTTCTCCTGAAATTTTTGTAAAGTGCAAGATTTTGTTAAGGAAAATGAAAACAAATTACTGAAATTTCAATGTTATTAATCAGGTACATAACATATAATGACTTGTAATGCATATCAATAGATGTTTTTCGGAACTCAGCAAATATGTGTTTTTTTCAGGTGTAATCCCCAGGTACAAACATACTTCTAACCATTACAGTTTCCCAGTGCACTGTTGTTCACAATAGAGTAATCAACAAGTTGCATTAAATTTTATTATCAATATACATGTATTTACCAAGCTGTATCTATAAAACTTTGTACTCCAGGATCCAACATTTGCTAATTTTCTGAATATCTCTTTAAATGTAGAGCTGGAAGGGGTAATCCTCAGAAATAAACCTCACAGGTTCCTCGGAGCATTATTTCCATTCACAACAACATCCCTAAAGAACCTACAACCTAAGATCAGCTAGCTTGTGAAATGATTCAACATCCTGTCAGAAATTTAACCAACAGCAGACGGTGTGGACAAGCAAGCGATTAAAAGGCTATTTATATAATTATAAATCTATTAACCACTTTGTTGGCCACAAAAACTTCCTCAGATATTTTTACAACAGCTTCTTTAACTTGGAGAATGTCCGGGTCTCGAGGTTATAGTTCTGTCTCAAATCTCAGAATTTTCATTGGTCAGTGTACATTCTGTGATAGTTTCTGACCAATCAGATACCTGAGATTTGGGTTTGAGCTTGGTGAATCTTTTATAACTTTCGGGAATGGTCCCTAAACCTGAAATCATTACCTCAAAATCTCCAATCTTTCTTCCCAGATGACCTTTGGCCCCTGCCTCCTCTAAAGCTTCTCTCACAGCCGCCAGGTTCGGCTCCTCCTGCGGTTCAACCCCCCCACCGGGCACCACCCATTTGTCTTTATGCTTGCTGCTGCTCACTAGTAATATCTGAAACATAAAAAAATACTAAAGTTTTATCTGCCATTACTTTATATTCTGTGAAAAAAAATACAAAGGAATATAATTCTTTCAAATCAATTTATAAAGGACTCGTCCAATATTGTATTTATAAATACAATGTACAAGTAAAGGGAAATTTGATTATGTCAAACTTGTCAGGACTATGACTTTTGTATATTAAATCTGAGGTTTCGTAAAAACAATTTAAGGAATTTGTATTTTATAAACAACTTAGTGTCAATAGTGAACAAACTTTAACAGTATATGCATTTAAAAAAGACAACATTTTTTTCATAAAAATTCAAATAGTTTACATACACTTTTGTGAAGATAAAATTTTGATTTTTTTCTATTAAATGATCACAAATTCTTATCATGATAAAATCGTAATAGTTTTAACTTCTATAGATTTCAATAGATAATTCATTAACCTTTTACCTCATATAGACGTGTTTTGACTGCTTTTTGTCCCATCCCCCTTTTTGTGACAGTGAAAAAATGCCCTATTTTGGCCCAAAACACTGTTTTTCGTTTGAGAAATGTTGTTAAAAAAAGTGACCACTTTTTCGGCGCCGCCCCCCATCCAAATGTTACATCAGGGGGTTGCCAGAAGGGGGATGTGACCCTTCTGTTTGAGGGGTTTGAAGGGGGGGAGGTAGTCCCCCCTCATCGCCAAGAAAATTTTGGACATGTGACAGGCTAAAAATGACCTCAGGTCGATCTTAGGGTAACTAGTAACCGACGCTGAAAAGCCTTTTACTCTATCTCAATACATTGAGAAGTTGCAGCACTTTGAAATCAGTTTTGATGGAAAAAAACAATGCAAAATAGTGATTTTTGGCAATTTTGAGACGCCCCCCCCCCATTGCCATGGTAACAGGAAATTTAGGATTGAGCAACTATGGTCTAGTTAACATTTGTGCCAAGTTTCATCAGTATTGAAGCATTTTTCATAGTTTCATAGCAGTTTGAACTAAATGTTACAGGAGGCTTTTCAATGAAACGGCCATTTTTCGCAATATGCTCATGGGGTAAAGGGTTAATCATAATTCTATACTCCTTCCTTAACAACACTCAAGTTTATCACTACAAATTTAGAACTATGTACCAGTATGTGCATGGGTTCTAATTTAATTTCTAACATGTGTTTTAAATCAATTCATGTTTATATCAATTCTTTTTATGGTAACACACTAACTTTCCCATTTGACCTTATACAGTTAGACAGTTCTACTTATTGACTCATGGGTCACAAAAAAAGTTATATTTATAATTCATAAGCTCTTCAAATTACAGTAAATGTGTTTTATTATACAAACATTTTAGTTTCTGTTAAATATAAGATCAAGGAGGATATTTGAGGTCCAGTGAGAATGCTCCTCAAACATTGTATCTGATGCTAAAAGGTCAATAGAAGAATAATATAGAGTGACCACTAAAGTATCAAAATGTAATTAATTATCCAAATGTAAGCATGTCCAAGTTTCCAAATGTAAGCATGTCCAAGTTTGCTATATTGTTAAGAGATCATCACTGTAGTTCTTTGAAAAAATTTGGCTAGAAATTGATTGAAAATAAAGGTTGCATTGCAGAATATCAGAAATTTCTTATGCATGCCCACCCACAATAACACCAATCTAATAACTATTAACTAATGTGAAGACAAGTTACAACAAGAGCACCGCTAGGCGGAGCATTATATGCCTGAAAGTGTTTTGTTTTTTTAGTAAGGATGAAGCATTTGTAAGACATGGGAATTAAATAAAGTATTACCTCCTTCAAATAGCAATCCTCTTATGAAGTGTGAATATTGTGGGCCAAATGGAACTTAACTTCTGCTCTGGAAACTGTTTTCAGTTTTAAGGTAACAGTGACCTTGAACTTTGACCTTGTGACCCCAAAATCAATACGGGGGTTCTACCCAATATAGACAATCATCCTATGAATTTGTCAGCAGACGGGGCCAAATGGAATTAAAGTTAGGGTATGGAAACTATTTTCAGTTTTAAAGTAATAATGACCTTGCCCTTTGACCTTGTGACCCCAAAATCAATAGGGGTCTTCTACCCAATATGGACAATCATCCTATGAAGTTTGAATATTGTGGGCCAAATGGAACTTAAGTTATGCTCTGGAATCTGTTTTCAGTTTAAGGTGATAGTGACCTTGACCTTTGACCTTGTGACCCCAAAATCAATAGGGGTCTTCTACCCAGTATGGACAATCATACTATGAAGTTTGAACATTGTGGGCCAAATGGAACTTAACTTATGCTCCGGAAACTGTTTTCAGTTTTAAGGTGATAGTGACCTTGACCTTTGACCTTGCAACCCCAAAATCAATAGGGGTCTTCTACCCAATATGGACAATCATCCTATGAAGTTTGAACACTTTGGGCCAAATTGAACTTGTTTTCAGTTTTAAGGTAATAGTGACCTTGACCTTTGACATTGTTACCCCAAAATCAATAGGGGTCTTCTACCCAATATGGACAATCATCCTATGAAGTTTGAATATTGTGGGCCAAATGAAACTTAAATTATGCTCCGGAAACCAAATTGACGGACGGACGGACGTTCTTACCAGAGGTACAATATGGGGTTTTCTTTTGTTATTTCTTTTGTTCTTTTTAACCCCACAATGCAGAAAATAACCCCACAAGAGAAACGGAATGAATGACATCAAAGACATGATGTCACATCTATTGTTATGAGAACAATAGACCATAACATAATATGCCCGAAATTCTTTCGGGCATATAAAAATGTAAAGTTAATTGCTCATCATTACATGCTAATTAAATCTTTTTTACATAATAAATTATATAAAAATATTACACAGGTGTCATTCACATAGTAAGCATCAACAAATTCCTTTAATTATTGTTTTTTTCTTTGGCAATTATGAACATAATTTAACATCATTCTGTTTCTTAAATTCACCTTCTAGTGATAGGTAATTAATAACAAAATGAGAAGAGAATAATAGTTTTACAGAAAATATACCAAGTAATCATTATAAGTAGCAAATAAAACAATGCAAGAAATGCTCTTTTTTCTTGTAACTAATGACTCATGACTAAATGATCATAAACAACAAATAAAAGAAGACTGGTTTATGTTTATTGTATTACCCTTCATTCATCAGTACATATTCTGTGAGTCTGTCATAATAATAGAAGAGAGTGAAGGACAGGATCATTATGTGATGACACTGGCAATTTATACCATTTCTATCATTATATGTTGTGTATCTAAACATATTTAACATTTCACTGGAACTCCTTTTACCTGAATGCCTGAAAGCTATAGAAAACTTTCAATAATGGGTTAGATATAACGAAAAATCATGGCTCAGCTATAACACAACTTTCTGCTAATATGTGCCGATAACGACAAATGCATTGCTACCAACAGCATAGATCCAGGCTAGTTGACACATCCTTATGGACTATAAATTTCTATAATATGGTCTTTTTGGTTGAATTTCAAGTTACACAAACACTTTTTTGTCATATGGTGGTAAAAGAGCAGGAAGACCTCAAGTGTACCTCTTCAAGTTCAAGTATCACCTGCGAAGAAGCAGGCACCTACGGTACTGTAAGCTAGCTTGAAAGCTTACTTGCATGAACAATCCAAAGTCATTGACAGGATATGAATCAGACTCTTTACACATCATTATTTTATCATACCCTGAATATTTTATACAACTATAAATATCTTCATTTCGACAGAAATTGTTTAATAACTAACAATATACACTACATAAACAATAATAAATTGTCACCTTCGTGCAATAACTGATTAAATTAAATTTAGAAGATCTTATTCTGTTATTGCACTTAAAGACGATGACAATAATTTTATTATTGTTTACCCCGTTTTTGTCAAAAATCTGTGCACAACAGCACACCCTTGTAGGATACTTTGTAACAGCCAGTAAATATTGGGTGGTTGTTTTTGTTGTTTTTTTGGAAACACTAAAATAACCAGCAACAAAACTAAGAACTGAAGGATACATTCTAAGAAAGAATTCAATTAAAAGGTAAAGCAAATACAATTCAGGACAAACAAAATCTTAAGAACATTATGTTAAACTTGGGCAATCATGGCAAGGTGTTTATGGTCGTTGACATCCACCTGTAGGTTACAGAACACTAGTTCTTCTCAGGTGCCTGTTTATGCTTAAATAAATTGCTTTGAATTTGGAGGTCCATTTAAGTTTTAAAGGATTTCAGTGTCAAAATACAAAAATTGAGCTATAATGAACAATATAGAGCCCTTATCTCCTGTGAGGAATTCAAGAATTGTACTTGAACAGTTCTGGAACTTTAGTTCCTAAAAAGTTCATGAACATTAAATGGCCTTTCTAGAACTATTCAAGAACATGTCCTTAAACAACCTCAATTCATTTTAAAGTGCAAAGATTGCACAGATGTACAGGCCTGGCCTGGCTCTATACTGGTAGACATGGTTTCTGTTCTAGTTATCACAGGTTAAAGAACTACCATATATTACATATTATATTTGATCCTTTATCTATTTAATTTATGCAGCGATCAAATAAACGGCTACTGTAGTCCTTGAGATTGTCATAAATTGGATTAAAATGCCTGAAACATTCAATCTGCAAATTACAACCAAGTTTCACCATGTGAGTGCTGTAACTTTCTGCCAAAACTTCACAGTAAAGTATTGATTACATATAGTTGCTGACATTCAGTATAACAGACTAATCATGGTACCAGTATATTGTTAGACAATTTGTAACATACATCAGATAGCTCAGGGATGCCATTTATTTCATGAATAATTATATAACCTTTATTATTATGCTTTTTTAAATATTTAAGGCTAAAAGCTGAATGACAGACAATTCAATTTTTGTCTATATGTTTAAATTATTAATCTTTTTTTTTATTTAAAATCCTAGAAGGTGTGAAGCATTGATTTTTTTTAATTTAACATGTATTTATTGTACTGGATCGA